TTTTAACCAATACAAATGAGTAGCTTGTGTTTCAAATCTAATATACTAAATCGACTCAATTTCCCTTTATTTTTATACATAAAATCTAAAGGATTGTGTCCTGATATGTTTAGTTAGATAAATGAGTCAAATCCGCTAGGTCCCTGTATGCAGTCAACGCCGCTCGGCTCCTGTCGAAATCCCATGGTTATGACAGGCCTTGAAAGCAAGCTCCTTGGCGGCGATGCGCAGAAATTTACGCCCTTCCTCCTCTTCTCCTGCTTAGTTGCTTCCTCCGGCGGCCTCTTGTTCGGCTACGATCTCGGCATCTCAGGTAACCCATTTCATCTCCTCCCATTTTTCTCATCTCTAATCTCAACATTCTGGATGAAATCGCCCAGCTGGAGTTACCTCTACGGACTCTTTCCTCAAGCAATTCTTCCCCGGCGTCTACACCGCCATGAAACAGGGAGACAATATCAGTAACTACTGCAAGTTCGACAGCCAGCTGCTTTCCCTCTTCACTTCCTCACTCTACTTCGCCGGCCTTTTCGCCTCACTCTTTTCCCCCCAAGTCACCAATAGATCAGGCTGCCGGTTTTCCATGCGCGCCGGCGGTGCCTTCTTCTTCGCCGGCGCCGCCATCGGTGCTATTGCAGTTAACATTCATATGCTCATCTTTAGTCGCCTGCTTCTAGGGTTTGGCGTTGGTTTCACCAATCAGGTTTTCTGTAATACTTTACCTAACACCTAAAGTTTGTAACTTTGTTCTAAAGATCTCATCTTTTTTAACAGTCCGTTCCCTTATACTTGTCGGAGATGTCTCCGCCAAGCTACAGAGGAGCAATCTTCAACGTCTTTGAAGTATGCATCAATGGGGGAATCCTCCTCGCCAATCTCATTAACTACACTACACAGAAAATCGAAGCTGGCTGGGGTTGGAGGCTCTCCCTCGGCCTCGCTGCAATCCCCGCCGCATTCCTCGCCGCCGGCACATTCTTCATATCAGACACTCCCACAAGCATAATCCGGCGTGGCGGCGATCGCCAACAACTGTCGCATGTTCTGCAGCAGATCCGAGGAAGAACCGACGCCACCAAAGAGATCAATGACCTCCTCCACGCGGCCGAGCCCACTTCGTCTTCCACCATGGATTCATGGCGCAGAATTGTTCGACGAAATTACCGGCCCCAATTGCTGATGGCTTTCGCTCTGCCCATCTTCCAGCAATTAACGGGCATCAACTTGCTGACCTACTATGCTCCAACGATGTTCCGTTCAGCGGGGCTTGAGGAGAGTGCCTCCCTGCTATCAGCATTGATAACGAGACTCACTGCGACGGCCTGCAACCTGATTTCCATGGCGGCAGTCGACAAGTTTGGGCGGCGGACTTTCTTCATCATCGGCGGAGTCCAAATGTTGATTTCGCAGGCTGTAGTGGGGGCAATCATGGCGGCGAAGCTGGGAGATCAGGGGGCCCTGAAGAGCGAGTATGCGAAGGTGATGCTATTGTTTATGAGTTTATATGTAGCAGGGTTTGGATGGTCGTGGGGGCCCTTGCCATGGCTAGTGTCGGAGATGTTTTCTGTGGAGATAAGGTGTGTGATGCAGAGCATAGTGGTGATGGGAGGGTTCTTGTTTAATGGTTTGATAGCGCAGAGCTTGCTGTCGATGCTGTGTGTTATGAAATGGGGGATCTTCTTCTTCTTCGGGGGATGGATTTTGTTGATGACTGCATTTGTGTTCTTGTTCTTGCCGGAGATGGCGAATGTGCCGGTTGAGGAGATGGGAGGGGTGTGGAGAGGGCATTGGTATTGGAACAAGTTT